CTGGCGAAAACGGACAACCGTGAATTGACACAACACGCAGTGGAACGTGGCAGTTCCAGTAGCTTTTGTAGAATTTTGTTGCGCGTCATGTAGTCCATATTTCATATTTCCTCATTTCCCTCACTCGGTCAAAGGTAGCCAAACTTCAGGGCACGCTCCTCTCTAGAGTGTACAGTAGGTTTTGAAAGGGAACCGAATGGTAACTATAACCATTCTATGGTAAGCACCATAAGACTCAGCACTCCGGTAAACCCTGTTAATTTAGAGGATCCTCCAACGAGTGTTAACAAGGCTAAGCTCAACCCTTTCGGCCACATTACCCGCATTATTGTACAATACCAAGTCCAGCGAGGCAGGTTGGAGAGCTTGTAGAAAGGCCTCCGAGCGAGGTAGTCAAGAGCTAAGGTCTTGAGTGGTAAGGTGAAGTAAACACTGAAGTGCAGAGAAGACTGTGAAGTGTATATATTTTTGGCGAGAAATGCAGTATAAATGCAAAAGGGACAAAGTAACACTGCTGGGTCGTTTGTGGCTGAGTGTGCTGATTGGCCGAAGGCTGTATCCTTAACTTTCGTGTCGCGGCGAATCAGCGCCGCGGGCCTCGCCACGCTTGCCTGCCGGCTGACTCGGCGTAGGGGCAATTCAGCCGAGTGAGGTGTGCCGGTGCCAAGTGAGGTAATTGTGCGGTTCGAGACAGCGCCGGTGCCGAGGTGATTGTGGCGTCCGCCACAAGCTAATACCAGGAGTCAGAAATCCTCAGCGTCTGGGACCTAGCAAAGTCCCAAAGAAGGAGGCTATTCTCGCTGCTGGAAACGTTTCTGTCGGACCATGGACTGCATTGAAATCTCCCAGAAAAATGTGAATATCTCATTAGGGACAACTGTCTGCCACGGATGCGAGTTCGACATAGAAACACTCACCCGTATCAGCAACCTTGCTAAGGAGGTCAAAGGCCATTTTTATAGTAAATGAACTTTGCCCAGAGAAAGCTAATGTACTAGTAGCAGTCTTTCCGTGCATTTTTTTTCTCATTTCTTGGTCTTCAAATTATATCTGCATGTCAAGTCTCTTACCTGTTCTACGAGTGCGCTTTGCTGATCCATTTTCAAAAATAACAATTCAAGCTATCCAGTCTGTCCTATATATAGGAATGATGTCACTTTAGTAAGATTAGATTCCCTGTAAAATATCAAACAATACAGAAATAAAAAAAAAAAAAAAAAACAATTCGTGATCAGAATACACATTTGCAACTTCACGCGTATTCATGTAAACTCATATACTCTTTGCACTGTACCTACCTTTGTGTGTGTGCATACCCGAGAAAAGCCAATGCTTAGAATGCTCATGACGCATTTGGAACAATAACTTTAATGCCATACCACCCCTGACGACTTTCATACTGTTTTCCTAAATCATTCTGTTTCATAAAAACTGTATTTGAAATCGAAGGAACATGTTATATGAATTCCTTAATTGTTTTGTAATTAACTAGAGGCACTCAGAGAGCGCATATCTTCGCTAAGGTAATAGGGTCACAGATGCAGATAAAGTATTCACACTTGAAGAATTACATTTAAATCACCTAATCCTCGAGTACATTGGTGACTACTGTAACCATAAACTCCTTGGTGGAGGTATGAAATCAAATTATAATAATAGGCAATAGGGGTGACTGATCTAAATAAAAATATCCTGGATTTGGATCATGATCCGGATCACCACTAAAACTTAATGGCATCCAAGTTCGGTTAAGACATCTCTGGTAAAAAAAAAAATAATAAAAACCTGCTCATAACTTTTTGAGTTACCCTACTAACCAACGAAGAAAATAACCGACTCCACCAAAAACATAACCTCCTTGACAGAGGTAACTATGAATATTCATATGTACTAACAGTTGAAGGAACCGGTATATCTTTCAATCTTTGTCAATTTCAGAGGGAAAAATTTATTTAGAAATGTTAGCATACCTGAGGAGGTGTCCCATTAGATGTGAATTGTTCAACTGAATATGTAAAACGCTGAACGATTCGCTTATGTTACGAGTCAATGGCTAAAAGACAAAAGTAAGCGATTTGTCATACGAAGCACAAACTTTGGGACCCTAATCCTAATTTCTTAAAATCCTAGTTATAACTAGTGTAATGAACATGTGTATAAAATCGGAAAGCACTCTAATATATATATATATATATATATATATATATATATATATATATATATATATATATATATATACAGATGCAGAAAAAAAAAAATGATTCTTTGCCTTTTAGAGCGCAAAATCACCTAACTGCTGAAGATGATTTTTTTTTTTTTCTTTAAAGGGAAGGTCCAGTCTCTACCCACATGTTCATGAATAATTATACATTAAATCATAAAGAATCAATACCAGGTCAAATTTTTGGAAAGGCAATTGTAATTCAACCAAAAATTCGGCGTTTTGTATTCCCCGCGCCCGTCGTCTGCTAAATAATTGACATCGCGCCACCAACCGTGCATGACGTCACACGATGTATGTGACTGTGAGCGATCCAGACAATGCGCAATAGGGGTAGGCTACACAGCAACAAACATGGCTGTATCGAACGAAACTTTATACATAATATATATAAATACACACAAAAACACGCACACGTGTGTGTGTGTGTGTGTATATATTATATATTATATATATATATATATATATATATATATATATATATATATATATGTATGTATATGTATATATATTTAAGATATATGTATATATATGTATATATATATATATATATATATATATATATATATATATATATATATGTATATATATATATATATTATATATATATATTATATATGCTATATATATATATATATATATATATATATATGTATATATATTTATATATATATATATATATATATATATATATATACATATATATACCCATAACCCAAACCTCCTCCCCCCTTCCCCCAGAAATTCACCCAATCAACTCAAATCAACTTAAACTAAGTCATATCCACTCC